AGGTACTCAGAATTCAGGGATGCAAATGGCGAGTCCACGGGAAAACAACGGGAATAGCCACAAACTGAGAATCGCGCAGGTATCAATTTTGAACGATTGTTGACTCATAACTGTAATTCTGTTCAACTGTTGGTTGATTATATAATTGTTGTCAGATTTCCCATTCAACAAACTCAACAATAAACCACCAGTCAAACAAATATGAAGTTGTGAGTCCACAAGCTTTTAACATTGACACCCTCACAATCTCCAGTTTGCGACCATGCCCGTTTTCCCCGCGGACGCCTCAAATAAAAACGTCCTCATTCACACGGGCTGTGACATCAATTCTCTTGCATGCAGGGTGGTATCTTTATAAACCAGCACGTTCTGTACACAGTATTTTAAAAAAAAAGTTAGAGTCTAGTATTGCTTAGTAGCAAGCGAAATATGAAATCGCTCGATATGGACACTGGGAGGTGGGACACACTGGCGTGCGATCGCGACAAATGGAGACAGGCGCTGGGAGCTGGTCTCATCAGAGGTGAAGCCCGACTGCGACAGGCTGCTGAGGACAAATGCCGTCGCCGAAAGAACAGCCAGAAAGGGCTACCAACGCAGGAAGACATCACTCACAAGTGCAGCCACCGCAACAGGGACTGCCATTCTCGTGTGGGCCTGTTCCGCCACAGCAAGCACTGCTGCTCTCGTGAAATCTCCTACGGCGCCGATCCATAGTCTCCTGAGACTGAATGAAGGATGCCATATATGAGTATTGCTTTACCATAATTTTTGTTAACTTTTTTTGTCACCAGCCCCCCTTTTTGCCACCTTTAAGAGGCCCCAGTATTCGTCATGCCGGGGGCTCTCATGGTCTAGAGATACGGTGTTCGCCTCCCATTCAATAGGTGGAGGGTTCGAACCCGGATAGCGACGGAAACTTTTCTGATCTAAAATGTTATCCTTTCACATCTTTTCCTGCCCTCAAACAATGTTCTGTCATCTGCTTTTGTCTCCACTTTCAGCCCCCACCTCTTCACTTCCTTTACTCCCTCCTCTGGGCTCCTGACTCTTTCTGCAGCCTTTCTACTGCTACTCCTTGGCTCCTTCTGACTGCTGTCTTTCAGCCACACCCCTGATTTTATGTTAGGTAAGATCTTACACCTAGCCTTCTCGGATAATGGGCGAAAAATCTCGGGGGCCTCCTGTCCAAGTTGCGCGCGTTAAAGATCCCTTGGTGGTCCTAAAATCGATAAGAGTAGGCTTCGGCCGCCATCTGGGCCAAATTCAAAATTTCCTACCAACTGAAAAATGTTCAGTGTGTACCGCGCGCTCATGTGACCTTATGCAGTTGCAAGCGCCGAAAAACCCTTACCAAAGATAAATAAATAAACAAATCAATCAATCAATCAATCAATCAATCAATCCATGCGGTGCCCAAACCGCCCCGACCAGATCCGATCCACCAATAGAGACCCCATATAACCGTTACACCTCAGGAACCAGTACATTTGACCTCTGAAGCCATCTTTTAAAAAATCCGACTAAAAGTACATAGATCATACAATTTGTGTAAAAAATTAGACAAATATTTGACCTATTTAGCTAGGTATTCAAGATTGTTACACTTCCTTCAGTGCATAATGTAAATCTTTCGCTCATTCAGACGACTTGGAATTTTTTGTTCATCCGGAGAAGCCGTGCGCTTTTGTTGAACGCAAACACCCAACCTTGAATACACGCCCCACAACTTAACACTCTAAATATTGGGCTGCTCCTTGCTCTCGAAAATCCCCGCTATTTCACTGGATATATTCTGTTTAAAGAAAAGAAGAAATGCATTTTATTAGGGGGCACGAGAGGCACGTTAAACATCGTGATACATTCATGATTTTTTCTGTTTGTGCGAGTGTACGTGCGTTGTGTAAGTTGTCCTTACAAGATGGCATACGGGATTATTTTTGTTTTTTAAAATATATTTTAAAAGTTGAAAACGAGCAGCTATTCTTCGAGTCTTTGATTTATGTGGTTGAAAATCATAGATCTATGTTGAAAATAAACCACTGATGTACAACATATTATTATGCATTTCTTAAAAAAAAAACTGTTTGGAAACGAAGACTAGATCTACGTCTATGTAATCATTAAACATACACATGAAGATTTTTATTCTTCTTCTTCTTCTTCTTCTCCTCCTCCTCCTCCTCCTCCTCCTC